ACAGTAGTTTCAGGTGTACCGCAAAGTCACTCAACATCTATATACCTTACCATGTGCTCGCCATGATAAGTCTAGTCGCCATCTGTCACCACGCCCCTCCCCCATGTCCTTACAGGGCCAGCCTCCTTCACCCTCCCCGCCCAGGTTGCTCGGCGGCACTTTTCCCTCTTGGCACCGTCACAATGGTACAAAATAACTTAGCACAATTATTTGTTTGCTGTGTAGTTAGACTGTGGAGTCCGTCAAGGCCGTCTCAGTCAGCCAGGCAATCCGGGGCACGGGAAGGCCCTCTAGAGTTGGTGTCGCGGTCATTGTACTGGGCTTCCTTCCACCCCAGAAGAGACTAAGCCAGTGGTTCTCAAAGAGGATAGTACTGCCCCCTAGGGGGAGTTTCGGGTATGAGGGTTCGGGATGTGCATTTTTACTGTCACGATGATTCCTGGTTTTGCTGCTCTCTCCCACCGGACCACACCCTGCCCCCTATTCCTGCTCTAAGCTGTCAGTCAGCACAGGAAATCTGAGGGAGCATGTTGAACATTTCCAGGGACTCTTCCAAGGGGCTTTGACAAACACCTGGCTTGTGTCCAAGGAACAGAGGCTCCGCATACCTGTTCTGTGAACCAGAAACGCAGCGGCTGCTGTCCTGGTTCCTGGACTCTTCCTGAGGCCTGTCTTCCGTCCCAGCCTCCAGCTTCCTGCCCTGGCTGCTGCTCACCGCCCAGGACTCCTCCCCAGGCAGACCGCTGACTCTTCCCTTGGGGACATCATACTGGGGCCTGGTACTTGAGGGGGCTTCATCCTGGAGGTGCTTGTATCAGGAATGCAGCTTTCATGAAGAGTGTGTGTGAGACCTCCATTTGTCTGCCTCCCGTATGTCCCCGCCTTCTTCCATAGAGGAGTTTTACTATGGCCAACCAAACAGAAAGACTAAATTTCCCAGCCTTTCTCACAGCTAGATGTGACCATGAAAACAAGTGCTGATCAGTGGGATGTGAGCTGAAGGGATGCATGTAACCTCCTGGTTGTGTCCTCACAGGGAAGGAGCACACCTACGATGCCAATTGTGATGGTGAACCACCACCAAACACATTGTCAGCGTGGGGACAGCAGAGCAACAAGACAGAAGGAGCTGAGTTTGCACAGCAAGCCCAGTTTTCACTTAAGATGTCATGTGGACTTCAGTGACATTTCAGAGTCAATAGAAGTAGCGGGGAAGCAACCAAAGCTCTCCTGCAAGGCCCAGTCCCCTCGATGCAGCCGCAGACAGGTGCTGACTGACAACCCCAGGTGGGAGAAGACTGGCTGCCCATTTCCCAGAGAGCCCAGGACCAAGGCCTCCAACATTCAATGAAACACAGAGCTTCGGGTGCTGTCACCGGTGTCCCCCAGGGACACATCCAGTTTATAGACCTGCTGTCTTTGACTAACACAATGTTTTTATAACAATATTGTACCTTGATTAAACATTAGGGGAGTTCCCATACAGATCTTGATTTTAGCTTCTCTTGAAAAATCAGAGAGGCTGGCACATGGGCCCAAATTCTCTGCCTAACACTGATCCCCTGGCACCTGTGGGCGAAGCACACCCCACTGGCTCACCCCACTGGCCACCACGCGCCCATATGCATGTGCTATTCCCTCTGGCCTTATCTTAGCTACGCCACTTTCCAGGCTCTCGGGGCATGTGAGTTTGTGACCCCTATCCCCTTCTGTCATTTACTTGGGGCCCTACCTATCCAGCAGTCAAGGAAGGGCTACTTCTAACAGGGCCCCTTCATGCTGTTGGCGCTGGGCCACCGGACCTGCTCTGGCTCAGGACTCTGTTTTCTTCCCAAGGCCTGACGTTAGTGCCCGAGAAGCAAGCAAACCTCGCCCTCCTGCTCGGTGCATCAACCTTGAGTTGAACACTCCTGCTGTGAGTTTACAGGACTCCTTCAGTGCACATTTGCCAGAGTCCGAAAACTTCTAGGAGTGTGGATGATCCAGTGCAGCTTTCTGCCCTCTGTCCTCACAGTCATCCCAAGTCCACTACTTACCAGTGTATAACCTGACCTCTTTGTGCCTCAGTTTTGTCATCTGTAAATGGGCAGTGATGTTAGTTGCTGCCATACATGGTTGCTAGGAGGATTAAGAATCTACACATAAGTACTTCGTACAAATATAATTGTAACATGGTATAGCTCAGAATAAATAAGTTATATTTAGAACAGCACCTAGCACCTAGTAAGCACAGTATCAGTTAAACATGTCTTTCATACGACTGTCATGGGGGTTAAATAAGCAGTATAGATGGTAGGTAGAAAATAAATAGGGGGAGGGCAAAAATAGTATGGGAAATATAGAATCTAAAGAACTTGAGACACGTGGGCATAAACTAAATGGGGGGAATGGTGGGGGAGGGGTGTGCAGGATGGAGGGGAATGAAAGGGAGAATAGAACAACTGTAATGGCATAATCAATAAAAATACTTTTTTAAAAAAAGAAAAGAAGTTACTATCTACAGGGGAGTTCCCAAAACACTACCAGCTGATTTCTGAAAAGAAACTTTGCAGGCTAGAAGGGATTAGCAAGAAATATTCAAAATCATGAAAAGTGGGGACCTATGCCCAAGACTGCTCTACCCAGCAAAGCTATCATTTAGAAAAAAAGGGAAGCTAAAGTGCTTCCCAGACAAGAAAAAACTGAAGGAGTTCATCATCACCAAATCATTATTATATGAAATGTTAAAGGGACTTATTAAGGAAAAGAAGAAGACTAAAACTATGGACAACAAATGACAATAAACATATCTATCAACAATTGAATCTAAAAGACAAATTAAACAAACAAGAACAGAGATTCATGGATATGGAGAACTTTTAGATGGCTGCCCGATGAGAAAGGGGTTTGGGGAGATGGGTGAAGAGGTGACGTTATTAAGACGTACAAATATGTAGTTACAGAATAGCCATGGGGATGTAAAGTACAATATAGAAACTGGAGCATCCAAAGCACTTACATGCATGACCGATGGACATGAACAAAGGTGTGGGGATTGCCTAAGGGAGTAGGGGTGCTGGGTGAATGGAGGTAAATGGGAAAGTATTGGGAGAACTGTAATAGCATAACTAATAAAACATAATTTTAAAAAAGTAGTAGGGAGAAAGCCCTCTGAAAATGGTACATTGTTTATGCTTAATGAATACCCATTCTCTCTCCTTGAGGATGGATACATTTTCAAAATCAGAATCCTCCATCCTGTGGTCATTCGTTTCACAGTGATGCTCCCTGCAGCCTTGCACGTACCCCACACCGGGCACCCCGAGCGCAGCCCTCTCCTGTGCTGGCTGAGAGTCTGCCCAGGTGTGGGCGTGCTCTCCAAAGCACCGTCTTGTTCCTGAGCCACGGGTGCGATAACAACAAAGGGACTGATAGTGGGGGTGGCATGGGAGGGAGTGGCTTTAGCCACTGTGTGACCCTGGCCAGACCCCTGCACTTCTCTGGGCCTATTTGCTCATCTGTAAAGGAGGATAATATTCCTGTCCTTTGATCTGTCAACAAAGAATGTCCAGCCTTAAGAAAAGTCTTATAAAAGTTTATTTGAACCGAACTGTTAAGAATTTCTGGGAAGCAAAATCTCAAAGGACTGAGCAAATGCTCTAGAGAAAGGCAGTTTTACAGCTATTTTATACGTTAGGATCAAAGGAGTACTAAGGAGGGTCACGTGAAGTTCACCGGTAGTAGATTAGGGAGGCAGAGAAGAAAGCAAAGTGGGGTGCGGGTTCTCTAGGACTGGACAAAGAATAAAATGGAGAGCCCTGGCTGGGTAGCTCAGTCGGTTAGAACATCTTCCTGATACACCAAGGGTGCAGGTTCCATCCCCGGTCAGAGCACATGCGAGAAGCAACCAATGAACACACGGATGGGTGGAACAACAAAATCAATGCTTCTCTCTCTCCCCGCCCCTTGCTTCTCTCTGTCTCTCTCTAAAATCAATAAATAAGTAAATATTTTTAAAGAGCAAAATGAAGAGACACATACTTCTTTTACGTAGGTACACGATACCTAACCTTTGCAGCACACGGAGATGGTATGTGGACAAGATAACAGTGAAGGGTCCTGTGGTCTCTGTGCTTGTGCCCTGAGGGGCAGTGGAAAGACGGCCACTCTGACATTTCAAAGGTATGTCATCTTAGATGCAAAAAGACAGTAAACAGGTTTGCTTAAGGTAGACCAACCTTTGTCAAGGAAGCTACAGGCCTAAGACGGGACTACCTGCCGTGGCTCACTTGGAGTTAGAAATGTTCATATTCAGGCCATTCTATGTGTTTACTTTCTTTTTTGAGGCCACCATGCAGGCCTCCCCCAAGCTTATCAGGTTTAGCATGTGGCCCCTTTTTGGTCCATAAGCCTCTCAAAGCTGCTGTGAGCAGAAAGTAGATTTAGGCATACACAGAGGAGTCAAGGGGTGTCATTGTGGGATATTATGACTGGGTAGCCAAAGGAGGGGCTTGATGGGCCCAGGCCTAAAGGACCTGAGAAGGCCAGATGGGGTCCAGCTAGTGAGGAGGGCTTCCCAGAGGGATATTTTGCTCGAGGCAGTGTGTCCTTAAGACCAGAGCCTTCCCTGTAATCATTCACCAACCTGGCCCTGGCTGGGAGAAGCGGGGTTAGCAGGCCTGAATGCCGCAGGGAGGCCAAATTTGGACATGGGCTAAGAGCTTATCCAGTGCAAGAGGTGGAATGTGGCCAGGGCTGGGTGAGGGAGGGACTGCAGTCCCCAGGACTGCCTAACAGTGACTGTGACTGCTGCTTCGAGTGGGGGTTCCAGCCGGCCCCTTCCCAGGCCGGGGGCACTCACAGCACAAAGAACTTACTTTCTCCCCAGGGAAGGGGGAGCCCACCCCAAGGGGCCAAGCAGCAGGAAAACCGCAGGATCTCAGACTGGCAGATGTGGGGGAGGGACATGTGCAGATGATGGGGGGGGGGGGGGGGGGCTGTTCCAAAGGTGGCCCTGGAGGCCGAACTAATGGCAAAAGAGAAGCCACACCAGCAATACTTCCTGTGAGTGAAGTACTTCTGGGGTTAGAAAGTGCTACCCATTCATTATTCATTCTCTCTCCTGCTAGGTTTCTGAACCTGGACTGGGTAGGGGAACCATAAAGTATAAGGTAGGTATGTGTGTACTAGGAGGTGGGATTGGCAGGTTGGTGGGGTGGAGTGTGATCAGGGAAGGTGAAGAAAAATCTGGGCACCAAAGGAGACCAGTCCCCTAAAAATAGAAGCAGGGGCTCTAACATGGTCCCTCTTAGGGGTCCCTCTCCAGCATTTGTGCACCAGGCTCCAGAGAGTGCTGTTCACAAAGCCTGCTCAGCCCTTGGCCTGGGGGACGGTGATGGGGGAGGGGTGCTGGAGGGACAAGCAGCTGCTTAAGGCACAGCCTGAGAGTATCCTCCCTCCCCTCAGGCACAAGGATATTTTCAGTGTAAACGGTGCACCCTGGAGTTGTACGATGTGGAGCCCAGGGCCTTCGGCCAGGCTGCTAGCTTGGGCCCTGCAGGCGAACCACTAGCCTGGCTTGTCCAGAGCTGAGAAAACACAGGAAGTGTACGCACCCCCCCCCCAACTCATTCTCTCCTCCTTCTCCTGGAAACACCTTGCTAAAGGTTGTTTCCAGAGGCAACTTTGGGAACCTGATGGAGAACAGGTCAAAGCTGAATGTTAGGGAAAAACACAGCTGGAGTGTCACCTCTGGTGCCCTCTCTGTCCCTCCTTTTGGTCTAGGCTGCTTTCCTGGCCACCAGCCCTTTCGGTGACTCCCAAAGAAGCCCCAAATCTGATATCCAGGCGTGTGTGTTGGTGTGAACCTGTTACAACACTACGTGCTTCTGGGAGCATATGCGCACACAGGCCTCTGGGGGCAGGTAGGTCCAACAGTTTATGAAACCGAAAGAGAAGTTCTGCTGGATGACCAGGGACCAGCTGATGCTATGATTTCCAGAGGCCTGGGATGTAACCAGATCTGTAGGGAAAAGGGGAAGGACAGTGACGAAGGCTGGGAGGAATGCACAGGGCGGGTGGAGGCACAACTCCCACACTCTCGCCCCCGGTCCTTCTCTCACAGCATGGCTCCAAACCCAAACACCCCACGCTGTGTAGCCCCAGCTCTGGCTTGGCCCTGAAGAGGTCTAGGGTAAGTAAACAGGGTCCAGCCATCACCTCCTGAAGGGAAAGTCATCATAACCATATGGAGATCATCTCGCGGAAGATCCCAATCTGACAGGGGAGAAGGCTCCTGCTCCAGGAAGCCCCAGTCTGGTGATGGAGATACCACCCCCAAATATCACCCCCTACACACACACACATACACACATGCTCCAGTCTTGGGGTCAGAGGAGAAAGTGCCTAGAGGTTGGTACTAATGACAGCTGTTCCAGCTGCTAGGTTTCCCCCATCCTGTGCCCAAAGCCAGGGCAGGACCCCTGGACTGGTGGGCGGTGCCTCTGCCCTCAGTGGCTCCCTGCCTGCCAGCCTGGCCTGTGACAGAGCGCAAAGGCTGAGCAGAGCCCAGGCCCAGGCCCCGCGAGACCAGAGCTAGGTTATAAATAGGCCTGGGGCCCAGCCTTCCTGGGTGGGTTGGGGAGCCGAACAGTGCTTTGCCGCTGACAACGGGGAAAGACCACTGTTATGAAACCCCCTCTGTGAAGAGAGATGCTGGCCTCGCCTTCCAGGCCCACCTTAGTCCCAACCCGGAGAAGCGCCGCTCAGTCACCTTGCCCTCCTTGCCTCAGTTTTCCTTTGAGTCTGCCCTGCCCGAGGACGTCTGTCTTTGCAACCCTCAAAGTGAGCCCGGCGGGGGCGTTGAGTCTGGTCTCTTGCATCCCGGAGCTCTCCGGAACGGAGAGCCGCGCTATCCCCTAACTGACCCCCACCCTCCCCGCCCGGCCGGGATCGCAGGCCCCTCCTACCTGCAAACACTGCGGAGCAGTAGGCATCGCTGATGTCCGTGTCTGGGGTGTGGACGTTTTCGGCATAGAGGATGAAGACCCTCAGCATGACTGGCGCGAGTCAGGGCCCTGCGCACCCAAGGGCGCGGAGAGGGCTGGGTAAGGTCGCAGCTGGCCGAGTTGCAGCTCTTGGGTCCCCTCACAGGAGAGGGCTGGCAGAGGGAGGCGGGTTCAGATCACTGGCTCCCTTCTCAGATCTGCTATCCTTCGAGAAGAACTGGCCAGCCCTGGGCGGCTCCGGGGGGTTACCTTCGGTCTCCGCCCCGCTGCGCTTTCCAGGCTGGTCAACGCGCCCTCGGAGAACAGGGCTTTCTGCTCATCTTCCACCTTAGCCGCCCTACCAGGCTCGGCTAAGCTGTAATTCAATGCTCGGGCCGCAGACTCTCCCAATGACAAGGCATTTTGCACCTGGCGGAGGAACAGTGAACTGGGCGGCGGCCGTGATGGCCCGGGGCTAGACCAGAGCTCCGGGTGCCCCTCACAGTCCAGATTCCTCTCCAGGACTGGAGTGAAGCTCGGCCCCGCCCCTGACCTTCCACCTCCAGCCTTGAGCGGAGCAGGCTGGTCGCCTCCTCCTGCCGAGGGATTCCAGCACAACCCCGCGGAGCCAGCCGGACCGCCCTGCGGAGGAAGCGACATCCCAGGCTGAGGAGCAGGCGCTCGGCAGGCGCCTTCGCCAAGAGAAGCGCGGCCTGAGGAATTTCATTGACAAGAAGTATCGTCCGCCTTTAAAATTTTGCCCCCTCTTTTATGATTGTAAAAGCAACAGCTGCTACTTTTGAAACAAAAAGCATATAAGAAAGAAATCTCTGAGTCTAGGAACAAATAAAATTTGCATTTGGATATTTATCAAACCAAACTTTTCCCTGCGAGTGTATATATACATGCATGTTAATTACAGTATTTATCATATATCTGAGATCTTGTCATAGGACATGTCATGTACCATTTTTTGCATTGTTAAAAATTCTTCATAAACATTTTTTTCAATAGCTACATAATTTTCCATCATATGAATGTACTAGATTCACGAAGCTTTCTCTGATTGTTACACATTTAGGCTCTTTCCAGTTTCTCGCTATCATGTTAGTGAGAAATAATTTTTTATTTAAAAACTGGAATGGAAACCCATTTCAGTCCCCCTCTGCTAGTTCCTCAGATTGGATTCTGAGCCTTGGAAAAGGGTGTACCTTTTTTTAGGTCCTAGTACCTATTGCTACACCGCTTTCCCAGAGCTGTGTGGATGGGCACTCCCGGCAGCTGGGTGACTCACCTTCTAAAGAGGGCTACATGGGTGGGTTCGCAGCTGTCGGCACAAGCACCCAGGGCAGGAAGGGTCAGCTGCTGGCTGGGGGCTGGTCTGGCCCCACAAGGCAGTACTAAGAGGGAGCAACACTCCCCCAAGGGCCTATCATTTTAAGATCGGGATAGAAAACATTTCCTGTGGCCACTTAAGGTTCTCCTGTTGCAGTTGGTGCCTCCTGTCTCATTTGCCTCTAGCACAATACATAATGAGGAAGGGAGGACGGAAGGGGGTAAATTCAATCATTCCTTTGACAGGTATGTGTCCAGTCCTACAACATGCCCAGCACCAGCCTGGAAAGTGGGAACACAATGGTGGGCACAAGTAACACAGTTCCTGTTATGTATGGGCTGAATTGTGTCCTGCTAAAATCCAGACACTGCAGCCCTGATCCCCAGTTAGGAATGTGACTATATTTAAAGATAGGGCCTTTAGCCCTGGCTGGTGTAGCTCAGTGGGTTGAGCACAGGCCTATGAAGCAAAGGTTTGCTGGTTCAATTCCCAGTCAGGTCACATGCCTGGGTTGCAGGTAAGGTCCCCAGTAGGGGACACAAGAGAGGCGACCACACATTGGTGTTTCTCTACCTCTCTTTCTCCTTCCCTTCCCCTCTCTCTAAAAATAAATAAATAAAATCTAAAAAAAAAATAAAGATAGGGCCTTTAAAGAGTTGATTAAGTTAAAAGACTGTTAGTGGGTTCTTGTGGGGGAAAGTTTGCCCGCTAATCCCCCCTATCTGCCACGGATGAAAATAAAACTACCGAGACATGATCTGCTTGGGGAGGAGAGGTGGCCAGTCTCTCAAAGGAGAAGGACGAAGAACCCCTTCCTCAATGACTTTTATTAGGTTTGTAATACACAGGAATACAGGTAAAGCTCATCAATCAATGTCAGGCAGCAAGGATCAAACAATAAACATTTCAAAGAAATCTGAGGGCTTAGTCTGAGTCAGTGTCAGGTAAGGGGGTTGCAAAAACTTTGGGAGACATACTCATTTCCTGCTTGGACCCTTATCATATGAATGAAAGCAATCTTAGCAAAGCAGGCTTCACAGGACTTTAAGAATTCTTTTTTATGCCCGATCACCCCGGAACCCGCTCTAGCTGGCAAAGGGCTGCACCACCTTCCCAGTCACAGGTTTTTAGGCTTAAGTGGATTAGAGACAGGAAGCGCTTCTCCAAGATGGAAATGGGGACTCAGACTGTGTCAGAACAGCCAGGGGGGTGAGGGTCCATCACTCCCTCTTTGCTGCAGCCCCCCAAGTTCTTCCTTGAGGGCCTCCCAAGTGATTATGTCTGGCTTAGGTTGCCCCTCCTCTGAGGGGTCTTACCCATCACTGACTAACCGGCCAAGAGTTGGGGGCAGAGATGGATGAGGCAGAAGCAGCGCTCCTGCCAGGGAGACAAGCTTTGTCTCCTTAGTGGCTCACAGTCCAAAGATCACTCACTCAGCCTTATCCAAAGGGGGTGGTTACAATTCCTGAAACCAGGCAGAGCAGTTCCAACAGGTTCTAATCTAATCTGATGGGTGTTCTTCTAGGAAAAGGAAATATGGACACACAAAGAGACAGCAGGGATGTATGCACACAGAGGAAAGACCATGTGGGGACACAGTGAGAAGACAGCTGTCTGCAAGCCGAGGAGAGAAGCTTCAGAAGAAACCAAACCTGCCAGCCAACAACTAGATCTTGAATTCCTAGCCTCCAGAACAGTGAGAAAATAAATTTCTATTGTTTTAAGTGGCCCAGTCGGTGGTATTTTGTTATGGCACTTTAAGAACTTTCCAATTCAGTGGAGGAAACTGATACTTATGAAATAATCAAGCCAATCACAGACCATTACAAACCTCTATGTGTAAGAAATGGGTGGGCGCGAGAGCAGATGGCAGGGACCCAGGGCAGTGAGGGCTATTTGAAATGAGATCTGAAGGCCAGTGAGGAGTTCATTGGACAAGACTGAGGTTGGGGCAGAGGACCAGCATGTTCTAGAGAGAAGGAAGAGGGCACTCTGGGTCAAGGCCCTGGGAAGGATGAGAAAAGAGAACATGACTAGAGCACAGATTGTGAGGACGGAGGGCTGGAGGAGGTAAAGCTGTAGAGAACCAGCGGGGCCTCCGGGAAGCCACCTACGGCCTGCCAAGTCCAGGGGAATAACAGGAAGATCTGGTTTACTTTTCAAAAACTCCCTCTGGCTGCTTTTTGTAGAATAAAGTGCAAGGGGCCCCAGTGGAGGTGAAGAGACCAGTTAGAAGTGACAGCAAAGGGTTGTGAGACACAGTGGTGACTTGGCCCACAGTGGTGAGAGTGGAGATGGAGCTAGTGAAGCCAGAGGAAGGAAGAGGAACATTCTGCCACGCAGTTGGAGTAGGTCAAGTATCTTGCTGCTCACTTGACCATTGTGTTGCAGGAGGAAAAAAAAAAACAGCTTGGATTAACTATTGATTCATTCACTCGTTCATTTAAAACCAAGACTTATAGGGTACTTTGTATGTGGCAGGAGTTTGTCAGAGTCGAGTTTTAGAGAAGCATACCAAGTAGGGAGTAAAATTTAATTTCATTGGGAAGGGCAAGGCTTTGATGATCTAGGGAAAGCCCATATTATGGTCTGTTTTCAAAGAAGTACAGTTTGGCTCTATTCGGATGCATAATGTAACACGAGCCTGCTCTACTAAGGCAGGGCTAAAGTTTGATCTAAGAGGCACCTAGCTGCTTGCAAATATGGTGTGACTAAGGTGGTTTGAAAAGAACCAATCTTCTCTATGGGTTAAACATCCCCCTCACCACTTCTCTGCATCACTTATCCACACAGTAGGTTCTCTTCCAACTGTTCATGCACAGAACCCCGTGTACAGAAATGAGCCCTAGTGAGAATGCACCTTGACTATATTCCTCTATATGTAGGAGGTGTTCGGGGTACCTTCTCTATTTCAAAGGACTATGTTCTCTGAGACCAGCCCCCGGCAACAGGAAAAGACATCTGACTCAAGCTGAACCAATCTGATGATCTCTCCCCAGATCCTGGGGGTGAGACTGAGAGGTGCTAGCCCCAGTGTCTGGCTGAGCTGGGATGAATAAAACTGGCAGCTCACGAAGAGCAACGGCCAAGTGGAGAACGTTCTGCAGTCAGAGAAAAAGAGGTCATAAGCAGGAGGTGAGGTGGAAGGAACAGAGAGGGAAAGGTTGTTCTGGGTCCCATTCCTGATGAGTCTCTCTGACCACGGAATCTGAGAAATGGCCCTAGGGGTGGTTGTCATGAGGGGCTCTCAGCTCTCTACCTCTCTTTCATAAAACACCTTCTCCCAAATCCTCATGAGTAGTCTTTGGGAACAGAAGTGACTGCCTCTCTCTCTGGAAACTCCCAGAGCCAGGCCTCCCTCTCCCCATCACTGTGCAGCCTGGCCCAGACCCAGCCAGTCGGTCAGTCTCCCAGGACTTGCAGTAAGAATTTGAGGAGCTTCAGGAAATAAGATGTGGCAGCTGCCGGGACAGCCAGCGTCCCTGCTTATTCCTGCTGTGGGACGCAGAATCGCAGCCGTGGCTCCTGCCGCCCTGGATCCTGTCCATTTCCTCCACAAGGCTGCCAGCTCCCCACACTGTGTGAGCCCCCAAAGCTTTCTTGTAATCCTCTCCTGCCTCCAATGCAAGGCTCGGTTGCTGTTGCTAACAGCCAAGAATCCAGCTGACATACTGTGTCTTTCTAATGAATCCTTCACATTTTGCTTAGGGTAACTTGAAACATA